CCCTGGGATGCTTGAAGCTACAACAAATATACCAAGGGTTAAGTTGCTTCCTTTTGTTTCTCCTAATGACTGATGAAAGCCCTAAATAATTCATATCAACTCCTTCCCTCCTTTCTTACAGATCGAATATTTTTCACCTCACCCCATTCCAAATATTTGTGCTCAAGTAAATGGCTGATTTCTCATACTTTATAATATGCCCCAATGCCTTCCTGTAGCATTCCAACGATTCCTTTACATCAATAAGCTAGTTGATTGAAATTATAACATGTTTACTTCATCAAACTTTTATCTGTTTTTTATTTTCTAATTTTTCAATTTTTATTCTCTGTTTTCAATTTCTGTTTTCTATAGCACAAGTTTAATTTCAAATGATTTTTAGACCTTATAGTTAAAATATTTTTGAATATGTTAGGCTTAAATGGAATATATATAATTTTTACTTTTAAGTTTAATATATGTAAGATTTTTACAATTCATATCCAAACTAAATTTATCCGTATATAACATAAATAACAATATGTTATGATATTATACACACACACACACACACACACACACACACACACACACACACATATATATATATATATATATATATATATATATATATATATATATATATATATATATTTAGGATCATATGAGAACACTTGTTTAGGTGAGAACGTGAGAACAAATCATGTACATCCATCTAATATTTTTTAATGATTTAGATTAGATTAAGTGTGTGCGAACGCGAATTAAATGTTAGATGCGAATGTTGTTTCTTTTATTGAACTGTTTTGTATGGCAAGAAATGAAAATTGAGTTTGCTTCTTTTTTATTTTATTTTTTTTTTATTAAAGTCTATTTGAGAAAACCAAAGAAACCAAATTTAAATAAACTTAGCATGTTGCATTGTAATGGTAACTTTAAATAAGAAGTGAATGTGAAGGACTTTGACCATAAAATGTGGGTTACTTAGAACTAGTCATTCAAATTTTCTTTACATTAGATGATTCTGATTTTTTGAAAAATTTATTTATAGCTCCTTCTTGTAATTCTATTAACTGCTCTACTTGTTTTCTTTTCAAAAATTTCACCCCAGTAGTCCTGAATAAAGAAAGGAAAATTCACATCTACATATGAATAAAAAAATTATATTCTTTAGGTTCTAATTTGCAGCAAATACTAAACAACAACTTTAATTTACCTTAATCTTCTGAGACAGCCATAGCCCAACATCTTCTAAAAGCTTATTTCCTGAAGCATCCCTGTGATTAGCAGAAGATAATAGGTTCTCAGAAAGCAGCTCCTGTCCTGCACCTTCTGCTACTACAATCACCATGTGTTGATGTTGTTTGAGTGTTTTCTCTATGTACTCGAGATAAAATGGGGACTCGGGAATCAAGCAGCAATCAACATCTCGGCTAGCAAGCTTGGCATACATGGCTATATACCCTGCATTGCATATATACTCCACTGTCAAAAATGATGTTGCACACTACACTAATACAAATCGGCCATTTGGTATCGTGCCCCCATCGAGATGTCCCAAAGATGGTTCCCCCGCGTTTATGGATATGATTTACAAACTTGGTGTTAAAGGGACCAAGTTTTTCGAGTAAAAGCCTTTATATCCACCCTGCACACCCAGAATTGGATTCATTAGACCCAAAAGATCAAACTGCAAATTAATTAAACACAAGAACTGTGTACTTACATCTATTCCCATAACTTTCTTTACACCATACATATGGTGCAACTCACATACTATTTCTCTTATCACTGTGTTCAGGCCAGGACATAATCCTCCACATGTAACAATACATGCATTCACCTCATCTGACTTGAAATAAACCTGAGATAATAGATGATATCAAAGATTTAGTTTAATTTGATTCACACAACACCATCATGTCTAATTTTTTTTGACATTTTACAAACCAAAACTCACCTTTTGGCGCGGTCCTGCACGACGAAAATGTGTTCCTCTTGGGCTATCCTTGCCAACAACTACCTGTAAAACATTTACTGAATCAATAAATTAAGATGTTCAAGAAAAAACATCCTATCATATCCTGGGTACTCCTAACTAGTACCAACTTACTAATTTACTATTTGTTATTTGTGGAAAAGGACTGACCTTTTGGACAACTGTGTCATCCATGTAAGAAATAATAGGCACATATACACTTATAAATCAATGTATATGCGATAATAAGGACTAACCTCCAGCCATAGTTGTTTGCTTGATTTGCCATAGTGATGATGTAGAATGCCTTTGTTGAATTTCTGCAGTGATTTGGGCAGAGTGACTCTCACTTGTCTCAAGTATAATAAGATGGTGTATATTTTGTCAGGATAATGACCGTACTTAAGTAGTGGGAGGACCTCACTTATATAGCCTATCTAACCATCAATATAGGCTTTGTAACAGTTGTAACGGTAACCGTTACAACTGTTACCATTAGCACTCCTTAATGGCTATTAAGGCCATAATAAATCTTGCACCAATCATGGTAAGATGTTACAATCCACACCCACAAAATACTGCCTGTAAATTAAAAAAGTTGTAAAAACATCAATCAAAATTGGAATCTTGAATTCTTTCTCAAGAAAAAAAAATTGGAATCTTAATTTACTATTTTTTGGGGGGAAAAGAACAAGAATATGAAACAACTTACTTAAGAACAGAATATGAAGGATTGTCTTGCAAATGGTTGGGATATGTCTGCAACAAAAAACACAAGAAAATTAGAAAAAGTCTGAAGCTGTATGCCGTGTTCTTAAGGGGAAAGAGAGAGAGAGAGAGAGAGAGTATACAGAGAGGTTTGGAACATAACCTGACAAGTGAGGAACATCCTCAAGAATGTAACCATCGTCGCCGTTCACCGTCTTCGGCTTCGGCAACAGCACTGCAAAACCCTCTGATCCCATTTTAAACTTCACAAAAAACACTCAAACAACTCAACTTTATTTATCAAATTCAATTCGATCACGATCACAATCACAACCGGTGATACTGCAAACGACACACTTTATATTTCACCTCTGTTTCCTCTCTCTATATATTTTCAAAGTACTGAGATTTCTAAGTTTCTATGTGTACATATATGTGTGTGTGTATATATATATATATATATATATATATATATATATATATATATATATATATATATGTGGAGGGTGCTGGAAAACTTTGACTCCTGAAATGGTTTCCTAAAGTTTTAGCCGCCTATGAACATAGGTTTCAAATGGATTCAAAAACGGGTCTAACGGTACTGTATCAAAAAACGGTGTTGATTCAAAATAGCTTGTCAAATTTTGTGCAAAAAGGGATTACCAAATCCAAATAGGAATCAAGATTCCTACTCCTATTTTGGTAAGGATTAACAAAAACCTTCTTAGGACCATCATATGACTCTTGGCATTATAAAAGCAGCTACTCATCAACACAAGAGTTTAAGCTTTCAAGATATAATATTGTGAGGTACGAGAGTCATCGAGAAGAGATATCCAAATCCCCTAGAAAGTAGTACATGTGTTTAGGTCTCAATAGTCCGATAGGAAAGATCATTCTATTGTGGAATCTCAGGTTCCAAACAGTGTACTTTAAATACTAAGCTTTTAGTGGATTTAGGCAAATTCTCAAATTGAGAAGTGCATCACAGATTAGGGTTGTTTACCCGAACCGCGTTACAAATTGTTTGTGTTACAACGTCAGTTTTAACATCACTGTGTGTTGCATATATATATATATATATATATATATATATATATATATATATATATATATATATATATATATATATCAATTGGTATCAGAGCCAAACTGCTTAAGTTACTAGCAGGATCCTAATGGAATTTCCAAGAGAAGGACTATCAAACAACAGGCCACCAGCCCTGATTGGCACAAAATTTTCCTATTGGAAAGCCAGAATGCAGATATACATCTTGGCACAAGGAGAATGTGTCTGGAATGCTATAAAGAACGAATGGAAAACACAAGAAAATTAGAAAAAGTCCCAAGCTTTATGCCGTGTTCTTAAGGGGAAAGAGAGAGAGAGAGAGAGAGAGAGAGAGTATACAGGGAGGTTTGGAACATAATCCGACAAGTGAGGAACATCTTTAAGAACGTAACCATCGTCGCCGTTCACCGTCTTCGGCTTTGGCAGCAGCACTGCAAAATCCTCTGATCCCATTCTAAACTTCACAAAAAACACTCAAACAACTCAACTTTATTTATCAAATTCAGTTCGATCACGATCACAATCACAACCGGCGATACTGCAAACAACACACTTTATATTTCACCTCTGTTTCTTCTCTCTATATATTTTCAAAGTACTGAGATTTCTAAGTTTCTGTGTTTACATATATATATATATATATATATATATATATATATATATATATATATATATATATATGGAGGGTGCTGGAAAACTCTGACTCTTGATATGGTTTCCTAAAGTTTTAGCCACCTATGAACACAGTTTTCAAATGCATTCAAAAACGATGTTGATTCAAAATAGCTTGTCAAATTCTGTGCAAAAAGGGATTAACAAATCCAAATAGGAATCAAGATTCCTACTCCTATTTTGGTAAGGATTAACAAAAACCTTCTTAAGACCATCATATGACTCTTGGCATTATAAAAGCAGCTACTCATCAACACAAGAGTTTAAGCTTTCAAGATCTAATATTGTGAGGTAAGAGAGTCATCGAGAAGAGATACCCAAATCCCCTAGAAAGTAGTACATGTGTTTAGGTCTCAATAGTCCGATAGGAAAGATCATTCTATTGTGTAATCTCAGGTTCCAAACAGTGTACTTTAAATACTAAGCTTTTAGTGGATTTAGGCCAATTCTCAAAATTGGGAAGTGCCTCGCAGATTAGGGTTGTTTACCCGAACTGCGTTACAAATCGTTTGTGTTACAACGTCAGTTTTAACATCACTGTGTGCTGCACATATATATATTTCAATTGGTATCAGAGCCAAACTGCTTAAGTTACTAGCAGGATCCTAATGGAATTTCCAAGAGAATGTGACTATCAAACAACAGGCCACCGTAACCATTGAAAGTATTTATACATCCAGGGAGGTTTGGAACATAATTCGACAAGTGAGGAACATCCTCAAGAACGTAACCATCGTCGCCGTTCATCGTCTTCGGCTTCGGCAGTAGCACTGCAAAACCCTCTGATCCCATTCTAAACTTCACCAAAAACACTCAAATAACTCAACTTTATTTATCAAATTCAGTTCGATCACGATCACGATCACGATCACGATCACAACCGCCGATACTGCAAACAACGCACTTTATATTTCACCTCTGTTTCCTCTCTGTATATATTTTGAAAGTATTGAGATTTCTAAGTTTGTGTGTGTGTGTGTGTGTGTGTGTATGTGTGCAGGGTGCTAGAAAACTCTGACTCCTGATATGGTTTCCTAAAGTTTAGCCGCCTATGAACACAGTTTTCAAATGCATTAAAAAACGGGTCAAATATGAGGTCCCTCTATTATAGTATTTTGTTCAATTTAAACCTTCTATTTTACTTTTATTTAATTTAGTCCATGTATTTTAAAATCTGAAATAATTAAGGATAATAGTTTATGTGGCGTTGATATTATCTCTGTCACGTAATCATACTTACATGCCAACACATATATTATTTTATAAATATTTAAAATTAATTATTTTTACCACCAATCATATTAAATTAATATATCAAAAGTAAATACATAAATATTTGTTCACATCAGTTATTGTCCTTTTTTTTTTTTTGAAAATCAGTTATTGTCCTTAATTGTTCTAATTTTTAAAGTATAGGGACTAATATGAACAAAATTAAAATAGAAAGACTAAATTAAACAAAACACTATAGTATAAGAATCTCAATTTGTCTATTATTCCCATGAGTATTGATGGATATATTGAAAATATATGGCCATTTAATATGGACCTGAGTCTAGGAGTGCATAAATATATGTATTTAGTTTTTATAATATTTAAACATTGATATACATTCATACATATAAATAAATAAATAAATAAATAATACACACACACACACACACACACATATATATATATATATATATATATATATATATATATATATATATATATATATATATATATATATATATATATATATATATATATATATATATATATATATATATATATATATATATATATATATTATTAAGGACATTATAGTAAATTGATCCATATAACCTAAACTATAACCCTTAACCAAACAAGGTAATATTATATTACACAATTCAAACCAATAAAGTAATCTTACATTCTCAAAATCTCACATTACCTTCCTGCAGGTAATCCTATTACTTAGGGGGCGTTTGGTTCGGGTCATCTTAGATTACCTAGGTAATCTGGATCTGGTAATGTTATATTACCTTGTTTGGTTCAAGCTATGGGATTACCAGGTAATGTTATATTACCTGAAAGCTGATGTGGCGGTAATGTTTCAAGGTAATGTGATTACCACCATTTTTTTAGGTAATCTTATATTACCTTGAATTATTCCAACTTTGCCCTTGTTAACTAATCCTTATATAATAATAATAATAATAATAATATACTTATATAATCAAATATACATGTGTATATATTTTTTGAATGCTACTGGTTCTATTACATTGTAGTATTTGTTTCTCAACCTACTGAAACACAGAGAACCAATAACGCCTCCACTGAGGCTCGAACTCATAATCTTCCAAATGGAAGTCCAACCCGGATACCATTGGACCACATAGTCCTGGTATATATTTAGTTTTTTTAATATTTAAGCTTTGATATAATTCATAGATATAAATAAATACACAAACATTATATATATATATATATATATATATATATATATATATATATATATATATATATATATTACTGAGGATATTATTGTAAATTGATCCATATAACCTAAAATATAACCCTGAACCAAACAAGGTAATATTATATTACACCATCTAAACCAAACACAGAAGGTAATCTTACATTCCCAAAATCTCACATTACCTTCCAGGAGGTAATCCTATTACTTGGGGTAATCCAAGATTCCGTGAACCAAACGCCCCTACCAAAAGTAATAGTACGTGCGATTGGTCAGTAATATACCAAGCAGTGTATACTACTTCTGGTGTCCAATATGGTTTTATATAATACATCTTCATCGTGAATTAAAGAGGCACTCCTTGGATCCTTGCATTTGATAGCTTAACTTCTTTTGCAATATCATAGGTATACGGACCAATCACACTTTCATTGAACATGAAATTTTTATAGGAGTAATATCGATGAGGATACGATATATCTGAATGAATAATAATGAGTCTGTACAGGAGTATATATAGTAGTAAATAGTAAACCTATTACAAGACGAATACTAATAATAATAGGTAACGAACACTAATTACTAATAATAATAGGTAACGAACACTAATGATGATAGAGTCCTAATACTCCCCTCAAGCACAAGGTGGACTAGCAACAACATTGAGCTTGCCACATAGAGTAGAGAAACGCGGACCAGGGAGAGCTTTAGTGAACACATCAACGAGCTGATCCTTTGTGGAAATGAAGCTAACCTGCAACTCCTTCTTCGCCACTTTGTCACGAACAAAGTGGTAATCAATTTCCACATGCTTCGTACGAGCATGGAACACCGGGTTGGAACAGAGATAAGTCGCACCCAAATTATCACACCAGAGAGTGGGAGGAGCAGCCAATGACACTCCAAGCTCGTGCAACAGAGAAACCAACCAGGTGACCTCCGCAGACACATCAGCCAGAGCCTTGTATTCAGCCTCTGTAGACGAACGAGCAACCGTGCGTTGCTTCCGACAAGACCAGGAAATCAGATTGCCACCAAGAAAAACCGCAAAACCACTAGTAGACTTCCTGTCAGCTGGATCACCAGCCCAGTCCGAATCCGAAAAGGCATGAACCGCAACAGAGGAGGAAGGACGAATAAAAAGACCAAAGTGCAGAGTTCCTTTTACATACCGCAGAACACGCTTGAGCATAGCCCAATGCTCAGTGGTTGGAGAGTGCATATGCTGATAGACCCGATTCACGGTAAAAGAGAGATCCGGACGAGTAACAGTAAGATACTGTAGAGCCCCAGCAAGACTGCGATACTGCGTGGGATCCGCATAGGGAACCACAGAATCAGAAGAAGGTCGAGACACAGGAACCGGAGTAGCCAACGGTTTACAGTCCACCATACCTGCACGGCTCAAAATATCTCGCATGTATCGCTGCTGAGAAAGAAACAAACCACCATCCTTGGAGACCGTCTCAATGCCAAGAAAAAAAGACGGAGCACCCATGTCACGAATCTTAAAACTCCGAGGCTAAGTCAGTAAGAAGCTGAGTAACACACGAAGCATCAGACCCCATAACAAGGATATCATCAACATAGACAAGCAAATATAAACAAATAGAGGCACGAGTATAGATGAATAAAGAAACATCAGTCTTGGAGGGTGAAAAACCAACCGACACCAAGAAAGCATGCAACCTATTGAACCACGCTCGAGGAGCCTGCTTAAGACCATAGAGTGACCTCTGTAACAAACACACATCATCCGGCCGTGACTGGTCTTCATAACCGGGCGGTTGTCTCATGTAAACTGTCTCTGCAAGATTATCATTGAGGAAGGCGTTGTGAACATCCAACTGCCGAATGACCCAACCGCGAGAAACGACTAAAGAGAGAAGAAGCCGCACGGTGGTGGGTTTGACAACAGGACTGAAAGTCTCAAAAAAGTCTTGCCCAGCGACTTGATTGAAACCCTTTGCGACCAATCGAGCCTTGTGCCGCTCAATCGTGCCATCGGCCTTGCGCTTCGTTCTGAACACCCATTTGCACCCCACAACGTTCATGCCAGGTGTACGACTAACCAGACGCCAAGTGTGATTCTGGAGCAAGGCATTAAATTCAAGATCCATGGCCTCACGCCACTCCGGATACCGAACTGCCTGAGAATAACAAGTCGGTTCAGGAACAGTCATAAGAGCCACATGCTGCGTCGGTCCTTGAGAACGGGTTGCCATGACATGAGACCGAGGCTGAACAGGCTTCGCCGTACGGCGGCCTCGCTTGGGCGCAGTAGGAGCACCCGAGACCGCCCCTTCCGGAGCCGTAGCAGTCACGGTGCGAGAATCTGAACCAGCTGCGGCAGCCCCGGAATCCGCATCCAACTCTGGATGAGGATCAGGTCCAGTGGGACAAACATCGGAGCCAACACCAACCCGAACGGCACCAATACCCCACGGCTCAACCGGGCGAGAGCTAGAGACCTGAGAAGGCATAGAAGAAGCAAACGGATATACGGTCTCATCAAACCGTACATGACGACAAATGAATACCTTGTTAGTAGCAGGATCTAAACAACGATAGCCACAAAACGAAGACGGATAACCAAGAAACACACACGGGGATGACCGATACTGCAACTTGTTACGATTGTACGGGCGCAACAGAGGATAACAGAGACAGCCAAACACACGTAAGAAGGAATAAGAAGGATTAGAATGATGCAAACGATAATGAGGACTGACATTGTCTAGAACTCGAGTAGGCATTTTATTGATGAGATAGACCGCAGTCTCAAAGGCATAATCCCAATATCGCTGTGGAACCGAAGCCTGAGCCAAGAGAGCCAGACCCGTTTCCACAACGTGACGATGCCGACGCTCAACTCTACCATTCTGCTCATGGGTATAGGCACAAGATTGCCTATGATTGATACCCAAAGAGACAAAAGTACGGTGCAACCGTTTATACTCTCCCCCTAAATCAGATTGTATAGAGACAATCTTACGACCATATGAACGCTCAACTAGTGACCGAAACTGCTCGAAGATAGCATACACATCAGTTTTTAATCGCATAGGATAAAACCATACATAGCGTGTGTAGTCATCAACAAACAAAACAAAATAACGAAAACCACTGACAGAAAGAAAAGGCGTTGGGCCCCAAATATTAGTATAAATAAGCTCTAAAACATGCGACGTAGTAGTATTGACACGAGGCAAGGGAAATCGAGATGATTTCCCAAGCATACAAGCACGACATGACACCGAACTATTACTAAAACTAGAATCAATGGAACACGAATTCAAAATCTGTCGCAAGACACGAGGATGAGGGTGACCCAACCGACCATGCCAAACGTCAGAGGAGACACGCGAAGCCACTAACGCAGCGGGACTCGAACGAGAAACAGGCCAAGAATAGAGACCCCCCGAAGCCTGCCCTCTATACAGAACTTCCCTGGTTGAACGATCTTTCACAAAGAAACAATCAGGGTGAAATTCAAAGAATACATTATTATCACGGGCAAACCGTTGCACGGATAATAAAGACGCAGAAAGTCCAGGAACAAAAAGAACATCAGACAACCGAAACAGTGTTTTAGAAGAGGCTACCGAAGACGAACCAGTACCAACAATAGGTAAACACTTACCGTCACCAACACGAAGATGATCCGGACCGTTATAAGAGACCGTCGAGGACATCAAAGACGGATCTGGGGTGGCATGGTTCGACGCACCAGTGTCGGGAAACCATTGCTGAGTGCTAACCGAAGCCGCATCATCCACAGGATACGCAACATGCGCTCTCGGCCCCGGAGCTCCATCGTACAGGCGAAAGCACGAAGCGGCCGAATGGCCCTCGCCGGAGCAGATCTGGCACTGGACAGCCTCGGCACCGCCACGACCACGGCCACACCCTTTGCCGCGACCACGGCCGCGGTTGCCGCCTCCACGCTGCTGCCCGCCCGAACGGCCTCCACCTCGCTGAGCCGCCATGGCGACCGGAGCAGCAGCAACATCACCAGCATCATCGGCACATATAAAAGCCTGCGAAACAAGAAAATCGGATAGCTCGGGCAGAGACACCGGAGCACCCCTTGTGAGCGACGCCACCAAAGGACGATATTCGGATCGCAAGCCTCGGAATATATACATATTCTGATCCTCTAGCGTCACCGGACGGCCGGCAAGCGCTAAATCCTCGATAAGCACCTGTGCACGGCCAAGATAGTCCGGGATCGAAGCATCCCCCTGCCGTAATCCTTGCAACTCGCCCACCAACCGGAGGGCACGAGCCCGTGTAGTCGAACCAAGAACCTGTTCGATTGCCAACCACAAATGCCGAGAAGTGGACTTACCGATTGCGAGGTGCATCATCTCGTCGGACAAGGATGAGATTAATAAGGAGAGCACGGCCTTATCTTGACGGAGCCATGCACTCCGAGCAGCGGAAGACGAAGCCGACGAAGGCACGGCAGGAACAGCTCCCTCGGCAGGCGGCACGGCAAGCGCGGTGATCGGCGGACATACCGAAGTACCATCGACAAAACCCAACAACCCTTGGCCATCCAAGAACGGAAGAAGCTGAGTACGCCAAAACAAAAAATTGCGGGATGTCAACTTGATGGAGACGAAGTGATGCGCCGAAGAAAAAGACACCCCCGACTGCAGCGGTGCAACAAGCGCGGCCTCGGAAACGGTCCGTTCAGAACTACCAACAGAGCCGTCGTCAGATCCGAGGTGCGCCATTAGAGAGAGGAGAGAGAAACCTGCTGATACCAGATGAGGATACGATATATCTGAATGAATAATAATGAGTCTGTACAGGAGTATATATAGTAGTGAATAGTAAACCTATTACAAGACGAATACTAATAATAATAGGTAACGAACACTAATTACTAATAATAATAGGTAACGAACACTAATGATGATAGAGTCCTAATAATATCCGTGCAAGAATGTATACTGGAGGCATGGTGATTATCCTAGAACGAAACTCTCGAATTTAAGTTTTTGATATGAACTAAAATCCTTTCACAGGATGTATTTATAGTTGATGATAATGCATTAGAACTAAATATCGTAGGTTGTGGAAACAATGCGTTCAATGGAATTATAAATGCAAACATAATGACGTTTAATCGATATGCAAATAATTTCCTTAATTAATAAATTTAACACACATAAAACTCAAAATCAGAACTCCACAGTAATTACGCCTATAATTAAAACGACATCGTTGTAACCAAAAATAATTTTGTTTTTCAACTTTACTATAATCAAGAAATGTTACCCCTCTCGAAAATAATTACTATGAACCCGATATGCCGCCCAAAAAATGTTGAGCGGATTTTAGAATTTCATAATTCTTTCAGGAATCAGGATAGCCCAAATCCAAAACCCATTTTTTATAGGCAAGATCCAAAATTAGCTTAACCTCGAAACCCTCCGGCCACGGTGAACCCCAAACCCATACCCATTTCGATCTGCGTGGAGAGATTTAGGGTTTAAGCTATGGCTCGGAAGTATCAGCATTCTGACTCCAGTGCTTCAGATGAGGAAGGTGAAATTCGTGGCGGACATCGCTCTAGTGATGATGAAGAAGAAGAAGAAGCTGAAAGAGAAAAAGGCAGGAGTGGGTCTGAGCATCGAAGAGAAGGCGAAGATAAGAAGCGCAGCCCTAGTTCTGATAGCGGTGCATCTCCCCGATTAAGCGATGGTAGAAGAAGAGGGCAATCTGATGGGCGTGAAGTCGCCGGGAAAGATGAACCAGAGAAGGAAAGGGGGAGAAGTAGAAGAGGTAGAGAAGATGCCGGCAGGCGGGAAAACGAAAGTAGCAGAAGAGACAAGGAAGAAAATTACCGCACTAGGGATAGGGATGAAGAGAATTACCGCACTAGGGATAGGGATGAAGAGAATTACCGCGCTAGGGATAGAGATTATGAGCGGAGGCGTAGGAGTGGACGTGAAGGGGATAATAAACACGGGAATGGGCACCGGAGGAGACAAGATGATGATCATGACGATGATGATGTTAGGGATAGGGAGCATAAATCACAGCGCCATGACTCTGAGGATGAGAGTGAGATGAAGGTGGAGCGGCAAAGGCACCGGGACAGGGCGGAGGATGACGGTGGAAAGAATGATAGGAGGGAGAGGAAGCACCGGAGGGACCGTGAAGAGTACGATGGCAATGATCACAGAAGGGAAACTGACCGCAGGGGTAGGCATAGGGAGGACCCATATGAAGATTATAGGGATTCTAGAAGAGAAGAACGTAGGAGGGAGAAGGAAAGAGATAGGAGGGTTAATAATGCAGAGGATGGTGAAAAAGATAGAAGGTACAAAAGTGGGGAAGGGAAGTATGATAAAGAAAATTATAACAATGAGAGCAAACAAGTACGTGCAGATGATGCAAAGTTGAATGAGGATTCTAAAGTGTCAAAGCAGGAAGGAAATGTGATTACACAGACTGCCAATTTGGGAAGAAGTGGAGGAGTTTATATCCCTCCTTTCAAGTTGGCAAGGATGATGCAGGATATACAGGATAAAAGCTCAGTTGAATACCAAAGAATGACTTGGGATGCTCTTAGGAAGAGTATAAATGGGTTGGTGAACAAAGTGAATGCAACTAATATAAAGAACATCATTCCAGAATTGTTTGCTGAGAACCTGATTCGTGGAAGGGGTCTGTTTTGCCGTTCCTGTATGAAGTCCCAAATGGCTTCTCCTGGTTTTACAGATGTATTTGCAGCATTAGTTGCTGTTGTGAACACTAGGTTCCCAGAGGTGGGTGATCTTCTTTTGAGAAGGATTATATTACAACTTCAAAGAGCATATAAACGTAATGATAAGGTTTGTACCTCTTCCTGTTCTTGGCCTCAGTCTGTTTTGTTCATGTTGGTAGTTTATACTAAATTTCTGTTAATCATCTATTGCTTATTTCATGTTTTACATCCTTGGTGTACTTTCCATGCAGCCCCAGTTGTTGGCAGCAGTTAAATTTATTGCTCATCTTGTGAACCAACAAGTAGTTCATGAGCTGATTGCTCTAGAATTACTTGCTGTTTTGCTCGAAAATCCCTCAGATGACAGTGTTGAAGTTGCTGTTGGTTTTGTTACTGAGTGTGGATCCATGCTCCAAGACCTCACCCCCCGTGGGTTGCATGGTGAGCAAAATTTTCATTTATATATTCCACTTTTGTTATTTGTATAAGACACTACTGTTGAAATTTGCATTTGTTTACTGAATTTGTGGATACCATCTCCTTCTGCGTGCAGAAACTTGTAGCCTTTGGTTATTTTAGTGAATTGATCTTTAGAACATCAATTTAAATAGGTATATTTGAGCGGTTTCGTGGGATACTTCATGAAGGAGAGATAGATAAAAGGGTTCAGTTCTTAATTGAAGGTCTCTTTGCATTACGTAAAGCAAAGTTTCAGGTAAACCAGCATTTAGTCTTTTACAGTTCTTTTGCATTACTGCTTGTGTGTGTGGATAAACTTGAGCAAGTATCAACTCAAGTTTTGAAACTGGTAAAATCAATTGTTGGAAATAAAAATTACAGATGAAAATACATAAAAGTACTACTCTTATCAAGAATTGAAATCTCAAAATTTCAAAGAATTGTCTTAAAAATTTATCAAAGTTACATTGCATTTACCACTGGATGCAAAAAGAGACAATTAGACATAAGAAGTATTCCCTCTGCCTTGTTTTACTTGTCCTATTTAGTATTTACTATTCATTGGTCAAACAAACTCTTTTTTCTTTGCTTATTTTCTTTTGTATTTTCTTATTATTTTTAATTTGGTATTTTGTGTTTTATAGTACTTTTAATGTAGTTTCTAAATATATAAATTTTATATACTGATACTAAACTTAATATTATGAAAAATTTAATTGTAAATTTCAATTAAGCCTCGGTTAACGGAACTAAACACATAAAATGGAATCGAGGGAGTAGTAGATTTTAGGTCAATTTCTGATAAAATATTAGCAAAGTATGATGTATGAGTCTTGAATTGGTTTCTTTATCTGATTTCTGATTAGGGGTACCCTGCGGTACGTCCAGAGCTTGATCTGGTAGAGCAAGAAGATCAGTTGACCCATGAAATATCTTTCCAAGATACTATAGATCCTGAAATTGCTCTAGGTATGTCCTCACTTTCTCAGATACTATTGATCGTTAAGTCACTTTAGGTATGTCTTGTATGTCTCAATACCTATGACTCTATGATTTTAATGACGATCTTTTTCATTGTGGTTTTCTATGCACAGATATTTTTAAGCCAGATCCTAATTTCTTAGAGAATGAAAAGAAGTATGAAGAATTGAAAACGGCAATCCTAGGTGACGAATCTGAGGAAGAAGAAGGGGATTCTGAAGCTGAGTCTGGGGATGATGAAGAAGAAGATGATGAAGATGAAGAAGAGGATGAAGAGCAAATGAAAATAAAAGATGAGACTGAAACAAACTTAGTCAACCTTCGGAGAACTATCTATCTGACAATTATGTCGAGTGTTGACTTTGAGGAAGCAGGCCATAAGCTGCTGAAAATTAAACTTGAGCCTGGTCAAGAGGTTGGTTTCATTAATGCTTCTTTTACATGCCTATATTGTTTTCAATTTAGCTGTTGATTCATACTCCATCTTGACTGCTGCAAGACAGAAAAATGCCATTTATAATATGCATCTAATTGGTATGTTACTATTTTAGTGATGGGCTTGAGTAGTGCTTGACACCTGACTCCCCCTTCCCCACAAAGAGAAAGAGGGGTGGTGCTGGGGCTGCTTCTAACAATGAAAAAAGAAAACTGCCTTTAACATGTGGTTTTAGGAATAGGCTTTGAAAGTAAATAGTATTTTTGAATAACCATTTCTAGGGGCGCATTGGTATTAGCTATTCTCGAGTTCTTGTGTATATATACATGTGTATACACACACATGTATGTATTTATGTATGTCTGTTTTTGTTTTTGTTTGTGCCTGCATATGTGTATACATGTATTTATTTATATATTTAAATATATAATATTTAGTGTATATGTGATTCTGTCTTTTGTATGTTTATTCCATTTCTATTCCTTAAACCAACCAAACAATGGAATAGAATTCCTATTCTTTCCTGGCCTATTCCATTCCCTATGGAATAGGATTTTTATTCCCCCAAAATTCATTCCGTGAACCATATGCATTGTAATGGTTTTAAGTGTTTATATGGTAAGATGAAAATTCGAAATGGTTTGTATTAGTCTTGAATGGAGAATTGGGTTTTCTTACATGTCATCTACTCATCTTGTTAGTTACTAGTTTTTCTTGGTGAGCACTGATGTATCTTAGTTTTCTGATATGCTTCTGTTGATAGTTGATTTTTTTGGCCTGGTCAATGTTTGGGTTCATTGGTAACTATGCTGTTTTTCTGTCTATGCAGATGGAGTTATGCATAATGCTTTTAGAGTGCTGCAGTCAGGAGAGAACTTACCTCCGTTACTATGGTCTTTTGGGGCAGCGTTTTTGCATGATCAACAAAGTTCACCAGGAGAACTTTGAGAAGTGTTTTGTGCAACAATACTCGATGATTCACCGTCTTGAAACTAATAAACTGCGAAATGTTGCCAAGTTTTTTGCACATCTGCTTGGAACTGATGCATTGCCTTGGCATGTTCTGGCTTACATACGGCTTACAGAAGAAGACACTACCTCTTCTTCTCGTATATTTATCAAGATTCTCTTCCAGGTAACTACTTGATTAATTTTAATTCCCCTAGTATTCTCTTGTTTAAATGTGTGTGTGTGTGTGTGTGTGCCGAGTAAAACTTGTAGCCACTACCCGAAGGTGTGCACTGGGTAAACCCCGGCTTGTGACCCTAGCTGGCAAAGGACCACAAGGAGGTAAACTAGCCTAGGTTGCCCATAGGCCATAGTTGACTGGCTCAAACCAAGAGGGTTGGGATTCAAACTCGTGATCTTGTAGTTACAAGTTTGTATCCTTTAGCCATCTTGGCTGGGGTTACCCCCATGTGTTATATATTTTTGTTGTATGATGTATGACGTGCCTGCAATAGCCTTGTAATCCTTGGGTTGCTTTTTTATTTATTTATTATTTTTTTTATAGCATAGGTACATAATACTTATTTGTATGTTCCCAAATAATTTATCCTGACAAATATTGTTAGCAGTCTAGCCACATCTTCCTCTGATTGTCTCTTTTCTAGTTCAAAAACAATTATTTTGTATATAAATACTCTGCCTTCCGGAGGTAACTAACAGTAACAGTGCTTAGTGTTGCAAATAACTTCATATTGCATTTTTTTTTTTTGGTCACTCATGTTTGAGGTTTCTGGGTATATTGGTATAAGCCATTGCTTATTTCAAACTCCTAAAGGCTTGTACAATTTTCCTTTATCATAATCCATTTGTGTTTGTTTTGACATTGATTACTGGTTCAGGAATTGTCAGAACACCTTGGAATCCGCTTGTTGAATGATCGTCTTAATGACCCGAATATGCAAGAATCCTTTGACTCAATTTTCCCAAAGGATAATCCAAAAAATACTCGGTTTGCAATCAATTTCTTCACATCCATCGGTTTGGGTGGGATTACAGAAAACCTTAGAGAGTATTTGAAGAATATGCCACGGCTAATCATGCAACAACAGAAACCTGTTTTAGAATCAGATGCATCTGAGAGTTCTGGGTCGGATGCTTCAGAGTCTGAATCTGAGTCGGGATCTGAATCATCCAGCTCCGAGGAGGAAGATACACGAAGGAAACGGAGGAGACATTGAGTGATGTATCCAAATGTTTGTTTGAGATGTATTTTATTAATGAATGAATGTTGTAGTGCAGATTTGAGATTTTTCATACATAACTATATTAACTAGTAGTCAATTAGATCCACAGAGATTTTGCAGCTGATGGTGAATTGTTGTTTCCAAATTTGCTTGCACGCAACTCAAAAGAGTCAAGATCCAGAGTCTGCGTTAAGGCAAGTTTTCCATTTTGTGTTATGCTTTTACTTGATTGCAAGAATGACAGATTTATCAAATTGTCCCTTTCCATCTTAAATGATGCATTTATTATTTACAGCAACGAAACACAACTTAGTTGAGAGAGATGTGTCAACTGCTATCTGTGAAATGCAACTTGATTAATTTTGAGATAAATGTAGATGTAGCAATCATGTTACTATTATTAGAGACGTATTCAATATAAACCGTATTTATTGCGATTATTGTAGAATCTTCAAATACTCGACAATCTTGAAGGTATCTTTTTAGTTGATATTTGGTTAACTTTCTACGTACTGTAATATTTATGGCATTCATCAGATTCTTATTTGGTTCATGGGTTTACACACTAGAAATGAGAATCAAAATCATAGTTAGTGTTTGGTGGACAACTTTTTAAAACACAATTATGAGATTTGATTACCTTTTTAATTAAAAATCTCATTTTTTAATTAAAAAGGGATATTCATCTTATTGATAATCTAATTTTTAAGTTTGGATTAGTACTTTTAGATTTCTGTTTTTATTTTTTTTTTGTTTATATTGATGCTTTGGATGTCATTATATTAGGTTGAGGAATAATGGAATGAAACCTTTGTTTTATTAGGAAATGAGTTTTATAATTAAGAATTCCATAGTAGTGTTCTAGAAACCTGTAACCAAATAATAACAATGACTTTAATTTTCATTCTTAATAGCTAAACTCATGAACCAAACACCCCCAAATTCTTTTAAATTAGAATAAGAAAATAAAATGTTGTTAGATTGTTGGCATGTTAGGTAGGCCAATACCCTGGACCAATGCTACTATTCATCATGTTCGCTTGCATTCCCTTTCAAAATGTTGGGTCGCTCCGCCAGCGAAAATTGTCTCACAAGTTATTTATTTATTTATTTTAAATAGAAAAAATGCAATTGGTTTGAGTAATTCACTTGTGGTCTCCCCTACTCTTTAATCTTCATGTCACTAAGAAAATCAAATTAAGGAATTATGCAAAAAATGTTACTCTCCCCCAACTAATTAAATCAATCATTACACAATACACAATCACTATTTAGCGTGGTGATATTTATTCTATTTTCATGGGCTAATGAATGATGACATGTTAGATAGTGATTAATTACTAACAAGTATCTAACACTGTTCGAAACTATGGAATTCACAAGTTCACAAATCTTGTTTAGTTTAGTATATTTTAGTAAATTATAAATTGTCAATATATAGAAAAATAAATTATTAAAATATCAACGCATTAAATACTACTCATTTTAGTAATTAAATGTTGATTGTTATTTATGAGAATTTGACTTATTTAATCAATTAATACATAATAGGTACCATATTGATTATTGTTTGATAGGCTTAATCATTCTTACAATTTTGGTCTTAGTAAGATGACATGGAAATACATAAATAGTTTGTTTTTTTATTTTTTTTAACTGATGATTTGATGATGCGGGTTGCAAGCTTTCACCAGCTGAAAGCTTGCGGCCCCATTTCAAAGTACAAAAAGTCTGCCTCACGTACTATTGTGTTTAATGAGTATTTTTTTTTTTTTTTTTTTTTTGGGATAATTGTACTTCGTATTTAATAGCACTTTTTCTCCCTTAGTTATATACTTAATTACTAATAACACTTTTCCTCCCTAAATTATTCAAATGGCTGTTTTTCCATGAAATATTAAATGGACATATTTACCCTTAAAATAAATATTTAAAATAAATATTTCATTTTTTTTTCTTCTCCAACAAATTATGACCACAATTTGGTTCAAACCAAACAGAGACTATAGCAACCAAACCGAAATATTCCAATTACAATTTAGAATCGAAACCCGATATTTAGAGTTTATTAAAATTGCGAACCAGAACGACCGATTCATGTTCCGAACTAAAAAAAATGAAATACATTTATTGTTGCATTTAGACTATTTTAAAATAAAGACGGTTCAAAATCGCAAATCTATTTGGAACTATCGGTTCACGATTCAGGATCCAATCTTTTGTTATTCATAATTTTAATAAACTGAATCGAAATATTGGGTTCTGGATCCGAATCATAAGAGGAAACTTTTAATTCGAATGCTATAGTGTCCAGTTCAGTTAGAACCGAAAACCGTGGTCATCCCTACGCATACGCAGTAATTTGTTAGAGAAGAAAAATAAATAAAATGTTTCCAAGGGTAAACATGTCAATTTAATATATTAGGGGGATAAAACCACCACTTTTAGAATAATTGAGGGGGCTAATATGCTTATATGAATAATTCAGGGGGAAAAATGATATAAGTATATAACTTAGTAGGAAAAAGTGTCATTTTCTCTTTATTTTATTTTGTATGTAATTAAATTATTAATAAAGAAAAAACGTACTCCGTATTAGTAATTGTATTCATTTTTTTTATTTTTATTTTCTTTATTTGTTTTTTTTTTCGTTTTAATAATTATATTTGTTTATTTTGTATTATGCAATTAAATTATCAATAAAGAAAAAATATTAATAATTGTATTTATTTAATTATTACATAATTCAAATATCTTTTATTTTAAAAATACTTGCACATATTTTGAAATTTTATTTTTGTTATTTTTAATATTTTATTGTAATTTATATATTGATACAAAACATTAATTGTGAAGATAAAATAATATTTATTGATAAAAGATTATAATTTTTTAATGTGATGTAAAAGTTATACCACATTTAAAAACACGAGAGTATTTTAAAGATGTAAAAAATATAGTGAAAAAATTATAAATTTAATGATGTAGAAGTATGATCCATTTTTAAAAGTGAGAGAGTATTACATGAATATTTATGATCTTGCCCATTAATGATATGTAGAAATTGTTTGGAATATTATGCCTACTAAAACTACATTTGTTGCATATGAACATCAACGATAGGTATCACTTCTTGTACATTGCCTCTCAATGAGAGTACTAATAATGACTTTAGTTCAATAGAAGAACTTTACATAGTTTTTATCCACACACAAATTAAAAATTAAAAATTTAGACAGAATCGATGCAGAAGTACTCAATGATTATTTGTACAATTGTATATACAAAATTATGCGTGTTGATTTATTTATTGATTTAAAATATTATAATTGAATTATTATTGCACTATTGTCATAGATCGAAAAAGAAAATTTTGAACAAAAAGGCTAGACTAAGTTACATTCTTTGCAACCAAAACGACGGATCATAATCATTTTGCGGCGTGTGAATGAATACTTTTTCAATTATGGTATAATTATATATATATATCTACCAATGGAGGAATTGATGAGTCTCCTCATGCACGACACTTCCCCTCTTATTGTTGTGCAAAGTGGAATTGAAGTTATTGAAAGTTGTTGTAAGTGTATAAATAATACACATGTATTTTTTGGCTAATTATTTGTCAAAATTATTATAGTTCTCAAGAAGATGATGGAGATTGAGTGGATATGAAAGATTAGACCATAGTTTGTATGGATAAATCTGTTCAACCCCTTTTGTAATTTTGATGATTATCTAGTGCAATCTTTATGCTGTGGAATCGTGTCCACCTTGCACAATTACTGAATTATATATTCATAATTATAAAGCTATATGTTCATAATTTGTGAACTTCATATTCATAATTATTGAACTCTATATTCACAATTACAGAACTCTATGTTCATAATTACTGAATTATATGTTCATAATTATAAAGCTATATATTCATAATTTTTGAACTTCATATTACAATTATTGAATATGTATATTCATAATTACAGAACTATATGTTCATAATTATGTTCAAAACTCTATGTTCGTAATTATAAAACTATATATTCATAGTTTTTGAACTATACATTCATAATTATGAATAGTTTTGGAACCGTGTCCACCTTGCAAGATGGACACGGTTTCACAACATAATTTGCCTCATCCCGTGGAGCTGGGCTTACGGTGAGTAGCCCTGTAGGAGAAGTTCTCCGAAATGCAAAATATATTATGGTTCCTTTATTTTTAAGCTTTACATAGATAATTAATTTGATTAAAATTCAAGTAGAAGCCAGTTAGAATTTTCAATGCACACCTTTGAATAATGGCGGCAGATTTTCTTCGTTATCCAATTATTAATGGAGTTGTGCAATTGATATATCTACATTTTATCATTTTTTTTTTATCAAATTGTCCCTCTCCGATGTAAATGATGTTTTGTTTGTTTGTTTTTGGGTGATGCATTTATTGATCAGTTAATAGTATGATAAACAAAACTGATTTGAGAGAGATCCGATCTGATCTACTAACCGGAAAATGCAATCTCAAGTACAATCATCAATCTAGATATATGGAGGACAAATATTGAAAAATACTAATTGTAACTATTCTTAAATATATCTTATATCTAGATGGAATATCAATAATATCGGAAAATATCTTTCAAATGATTATGAACACTTTGTATTAAATTTTGATGATACCAGCAAACTTAGGAGTTTAAATCCCTCAATTCTTTTTATTTTCTAGACTTAGGAAGTCAGCTCTACATTCGAATCTTAACCGAATGGTTAACCGAGTGGTTTAATAGTTACATCTGAACGAACACTCGAGGAGACAGTCTCAACAACCAAGTCGAAGAGTAACCCGGGTAGTTAACACTTTAAAACATAACGAGCTGAGATCAACCCGGGGGTTTATCTCTCAGCAGCTCAAGAAGAAGAGTAACCCGAGTGGTTAACTCTAGTCCGAGACGAAGACTGAAGACGAAAATTCAAAGAGCAAAGACTTTCAAGACTGAGAGGCTGCAAAGACCGAATGATGGATGGGTCTGCCTCTTGTGTATTATCAAGACCGAGTGATAATAAATATCATTCGAGGAGTTAAGGGACGATTGGTAAAGTCAACCATCGTATCCGAGAGGACCTAAGGTTCAGACGTTAACTTAGTTAACAACTCGATAGGACAAGCTCAAATATTATAACACCACCGGTTCTAACCATAACTTTAAGCATTAAACTTAACAAAGATGGGTAAATAAAGTCTAAAGCTGATATTA